AAAATGAACTCTACATATTTACTCACAGCTTCGCATACATTTTAGTTGGTTCACAGGCTTTTGTTGAAGCCATCTGTAAGCCCCTCAATTAAGAACCCCTAAACTAAAAGAATGAAAGTAGCTATTGGCTTGGCCTGACTAGCTGCCCAGGAAACTTTTGTATTGATTTTTCCTATTAAATTAGAAACTCTTTTGTTCATGGAATCACTGAATATTAACACTCAATAAAAATTATGGATTATTGATAACATGGAATATTGATAATCCATGGATTGGTTATCCAACTCATCTAAGCATGGAATGATATAACTTATATTTTAGAATCAGGAAAATCTTAGAATGTCAGAGCTGGAAGTGATCAAGTCCACACATAATTTTATTCCACAAAACTCTGATGGGTAGGAAGAATAACACACAGAGGCTAAGAGAGGGGACAAGACTTGCTGGAGGCCACCCGTAATAGCGTGGAGTCAAAATTCAAATCCTAGTTGCTAGTTTCAAGGCCAGATTGTCAAGTTAAAGATTCAACCGCCATGTAGTCTGCATGGGGCTGAGAAAAGTCAAGACAAGAATATTTGTTAAGTACCTACCAGATGCCAGGCAGTACCAGGGGAATGCAGATATAGTGCCATATTTCACCCTCCCAATAACCATGCAAAGTGAGTACTATTTTTATTTTACAAATGGGGAAAGAAATTCAGAGTGGTGAGATAACCAGTCCAAGGTCACACAGCCAAGTAAGCATCAACAACCATGTCCATTGCTTTATTTCCCAAATATAGAGGAGAAGGGAAGTCAGAGAGAGCAAAATCCTGGTCATGTTTGGCTGATGCTTTTCCAAGGAGAAGTACTGAACCAATGGATACATACGCTCTGGTCTGTGGAGTGGTGGACACTATTCTGGACCTAGGTGAAATATCCCTTGGGATTCTCTGCATCCCCAGCCCTTCCTGATGTTATACTCATCCAGTATCCTCTAGCTAACTAGTCTGGCTTCCATGATACTAGGAAGGGGGCACCCTGGATGACAGCAACAAGAAACTCGATCAATGGAACAGTACATCTCCCACTTTGTGAACCAGTCATTGTTCTGTGGTCAAAGCAAGACCCTTAACTGTGATGACCCCACCAATGCTCTTTGCCCAACAAACCTAACAACAGCCACTGATCTCTTGCTGTAACAGCCCTATCTATCTTCTTTCACACAGACAGTGGTCCTCATTCACATTCACGTAAACCTTTTCAATATCACTTAATATTTAGTTCACAGTGCACACTCACACAAGCTATTTCCTTTAACCTCATTGCAACTCGGTGAGGTTAAGTATTATTACATCCTCCTGCTACAGATTTGGAAACTAATCTGAGGCCCAGTGAGGTTATACAACTTGCCCAAGGTGACACTCTAGTAAGTGGGTGAGCCTAGGATTCAAACCCAGATATGTCTGAATCGAAAGTCTGTTCTGTTTGCATAATACCATATCTATATTTTAATGAATATCTCTATTTAATTCCCACAGCAGGGGTTAGACAAGTGTGAAGGTCTTTGGTCCTTCGTAACGGTGAGGAAGCTCACCTCAGAGAGGTTACAGGACTTGCAGGAGGCTGCTCTCTGGGATGATGTTGGTGCTGTCATCAGAATCCAGGTCTCCTGATTCCTAGTCTAGAGGACATTTTCTCCCAGACCATATTGCCTTTCCCATCAGACCATGTAATTTCTTTTTCTGGTTGGGACATGGAGCCAGCAGCCAACAAAGATCACAATCTGTCTCCCTGAAGTCTCCCTCTGTTATGAAATGAGAGTTGGTTTTTTTTTTTTAAGTATTTCAAACAGAACCCAGGTTAAATCACCCTTGCATGCATTGAATCGGCCTAAGCTTCCCTGGTGCAGTTTGTTTCCTCTTCTCATCCTCTGGAGGACAGAACAAGGCACGGTAGGCCCATCAGCATCATGGCCGGCTCAACTTATACATAGCCTCTCTATTCACCCTAACCCCTTCCAATCACGAGCTCTCATTCCCTGCCGCCACTCCCAAATAGTCAATTACCAAGTCTTCTCAGTTCCACATTATAAATATTCCACAGCCACCACTCTGGTCTTGGCCTGAATTATTTCTCACCTGTATTTTTATAACAGCATCCTAATGCATGTCCCTGCCTACAACACTGGCCCTCTCGAATCTGTCCTTTCCACTGCCATCAGAGTGGCCCTTCATCCCCATTAAAAACCCTTCTATTGCTCTCCATTGTCTACATTCAAGATCAAACTCCTTACAGCTTTCCACTTCAAATGTATCATTGTGTCTGAAGTCCTTCAGCCACAAGGGACCACTTACAGCTCCTGCCCATACCTTCTGTACGCCCCTCTCTGTCTACCACATCCTCCCTTCAACAACATCCTCACCCAGTTTGACTAGTTCATATTAAAAACTCACTTCAGGCTGGGTGCAGTGGCTTACACCTGTAATCTTAGCACTTTGGGAGGCCGAGGCAGGTGGATCATGAGGTCAGGAGTTCAAGACCAGTCTGACCAACATGGTGAAACCCCATCTCTACTAAAAATACAAAAATTAGCCGGGCGTGGTGGCACACACCTGTAATCCCAGCTACTCAGGAGGTTGAGGCAGGGGAATTGCTTGAACCCAGGAGGCGGAGGTTGCAGTAAGCCGAGATCGTGCCACTGTACTCTAGCCTGGGTGACAGAGCAAGACTCCATCTCAAAAACAAACAAACAAAAAACCTCAGTTCAGAGGTCTCTTTTCCTGGGAAATCTTCCCTGACTCCCAGGACTGCGTGTGAGTTCCCTCTTTCCCCCATGTAAAGACATTCTTGTCTTTAGTATGTTCTCTGTTAACATTCCCTGTGCCTAGAACTTTACCTGACCTATGACAGGCACTCAATATATACTTGTCAAATGAAAATGTCCTAGATCCTTGTGGAATTCCTCCACCACAGAATTTATCATGTACATTGTCTCCTCGAGTACACTGAAAGTTCTGAGAGTCAGAAACCATGCCTTTTTATTCAGTATTTTACCCTAGGTGCCTTTTATGATTCCTAGTGTATACTAATGGTGTGTTTACTTTTGATAAATGAGGGTTGGCTGTTGAGGGGTGGAAACCTTGGGCCTGAACCAAGGGTGGGCTTTCTACTAAGAAATACATTTTCTTCTAACACAAAAGCATGTCAGAAGGGCTAAGAAAAGGCAGGAGAACCTGTCATATTGGACAGCAAAAAACAACAACAAACTAGGTGCAGGCCTCCTCTGGAGGGACCCTCATCTCCCTATGAATAAGAATTGCAGAATCCCCTTTGGTGCACAAGCTGAAACTCTTATTCCAGGCAGTTCTCTGTCCCTTTGCCATAATATTACGGGAGAGCAAAGCAAGCACAATGTGGAATGAAGCATACGCATGTATTATAGGAGTTAGCAGATTCTGGAGAAGCCATAGGCTGTATATATCATCTAATGTGTGTATGGGGCATGGAGAGGGGCAGTGTGGCACATAACAGGTGGCCAGGACTTTGGAACCCACAGACCCTCTTCCTCAGAGCAGAGCCTACTCCCTTGGCCTTGCTGAGTCAGGTGGGTATTAAAGCAGACTGCAAGATGACTCTTAGCCTTGATGACTGTACGTAGGGAACTCTCAGTTCCAATCATGATCTCTCTGTGTCCAACAGGAGCTGGGACACTGCTCTAACACCTGGCCTACCCCCTGCCAGCCACTCCTTCTAGGGCCATTGCCCTGCTTCCAATGTTCCTGGCAAGGTACCTGGACACCATACCCCCCACCCTCCCAAACACACACATACAAACAGAGCCACTAACTTGCAATTGGCTGGTGGGACGAGCCCTAAGTCATGCCACTTTCAGAAAAGATGTTTTCCTGCACAGAGGAATTCCATAAACACTCACCAAGGGTTGAAAAAATGCTAAAAAGAGCACTTCTACTTCCAGGGAGGGGGAATTTGCAGAAATACGGAGTTCATTTCATCTAAAGTTCCTTCCTTCTCCCTCCACTTCTTTGAGAAAACTAAGTGTTAGGAAAGGAGACATAGATTAACCCAAAAACAAAGGATAAAGGAAAGCGGAATCTGCTATGATCTGTTACAGCTGATGCAGGGACCTTGGTATTAAAATCAACACTCAGGCAACTAGAGTTACTATATAATCCCTAAAAAAATTAGGCAAGCTAGAAAATAACTTCTAATTTCATCACGGAAGGCTTGGGAGTTTTCAGAGAAATTTTATGAAGACACTAAGAGGAAAAGGAATTTGTTAAAGGAAATGTAAAGGCAAAGAGAAAGATGCACAGAGGCCGAGACGGGAAAGACAAGGAAGATAGAGGAGAGGCAAAGAGGAGAGAAAGAGAGGAAAGGAGGACGGGATGAGAGAGAGGACAGAAAGGAGGGGAGGAGGAGGAAAAAAAAATGAGGAGAGAGAAGCACAGAACAGGTGAGGAGGGAGGAGGAGGGTAGAGAAGAAGAGGGAACAAGGGGGAGAAAAATAAGTAGAAGGGGAAATAGTGAGTAGAGGGAAAAAAAAGTGGAAGAGGACAGGTTAGACAAAAGATGAAAAGAGAAAATATGGTTTTGTATGTTCAGGGTTAGAAGGAGTCAAGATCATCAAGCTCTTCCTCAGCAACCCTGGGGGTGTCATCCAGCCTGTGGACTTGCATAGCTTAGATGGCAGAAGACTAGCTGCATCATGAGAGAAGAGAGGGGAGAGAGATGGAGGCAGAGTAAGATATGGGCAGGCCATGGGTCCAGGTGGCCTGGGAAAGATTTGGAGCATGGCAATTGGGGTGGGAGTGTCATACTAAAGGCTGAGGCAAACTGGACAATCCAAAGATGCCACCAGCAGAACCAGCACCTCCATCCTCACCTGAGAGTCTCAGCCCTTACCTGAGCTGGGGGCCTAATTCCTGACCTCTCAGACTTGGATACCCTGGGCTGGATGAGGGCTGGTCCAAGGCTGGGTGGGGACAGGCCAAGGATACAGGCTTCTTCAGTGTAGGGCACAGCAGCCGTGGTGCCACTGATGATGTAGCTGTAGAAGGAGACCTCTAGGGTGTAGCAATAGGAAGTGTGGTCCAGGAGTCCACCGAGGAAGCGACGGCCAGTTCCTGCTTTCACAGCGTCCCGGTTAAAGGATGTGCTGGACTGTGAAAGACAGAGTAGGGAGGAAAGAATCACGGCACCTGCTGGCAATTGGATTGTGAGCAAATTTTACAACACCTCTGGGTCTCAGTTTCACCATCTGAAGAGTGAGATATTAACCCCTCATCACATGATTATTATAAGGACTGATTAAATAAACATAATTAATGACAGCAGCAAGCAGAGTTCTTGAGGTGCAGTAACTGCCACTCAACGAATATTTGCGGAAAAATGAATGGAGACAGAGGGAGCAGGGAAAAGTAGAAAGAGAAAAAGAAGCAACTACATTTTGATGATAATCAGAACTAACATTTGGAGCCTGGCATGGTGGTGTGCACCTGTAGTCCTAGCTACTTGGGAGGCTGAGGTGGAAGGATTGCTTGAGCCTAGGAGTGTGAGTTCAGCCTAGGCAACATAGTGAGACCAAGTCTCTATTCTTTTTTATTATTATTTTATTTATTTATTTTTTTGAGACAGAGTCTCACTGTGTCGCCCAGGCTGGAGTGCAGTGGCACGATCTCAGCTCACTGCAACCTCCGCTTCCTGGGTTCATGCCATTCTCCTGCCTCAGCCTCCCGAGTAGCTGGGACTACAGGTGCCCACCACTATGCCTGGCTAATTTTTTGTATTTTTAGTAGAGATGGGGTTTCACCGTGTTAGCCAGGATGGTCTCGATCTCCTGACCTCGTGATCCACCTGCCTCAGCCTCCCGAAGTGCTGGGATGTCTCTATTCTTTAAAAAGAAAAAAAATAAAAACAAAAACAAAAACAAAAACAAAACAAAACAAAACAAAAAAACCCTAAAATTTGGGCAGTGCTTTCAATTTTATAATATTGTTTCCCATGAAAAAAATCATTTAGGCTTCAAAATAACCACTTGAAGTAGGTTATTTTATTTCTCAAAAAAAGAAGAAACTGAGGCTCATAGAGGTGGAGCAAGTAAGTGATACAGCACAAAAAAAAATCCAGAACTGAGTGACTCCAGTCAACCAAAGACTCTGCTTCCCTTAGAAAAAAATGATTCATGTCCAGAATCATTAGAGCATAGGAATCATGGTTGCTTCTTAAAAAAAATGTTGACAGCAACCATCACAATGGATAGAGAAATGGACAAGCATGTCAAAAAAAAGTCCTCTGTTCAAAGACATGCTCTACTATCCACTGATTGCATGATGTAAAAAAAGTTGACTTATTTGTCTGAGCCTCAGTTTTCTCATTTGTAACTTGGAGGAAAAAAAATCTCTTTCACAGAGTTGTGAAGGTCAGTTCACTTGGGGTTAAAAGGGAAAAAAATGCTAACCCATGGAAATTTAAGTAAATGAACAGACCATGGTTTTAATAAAAAAAAACATATCTTATTCAGCAGGAGATAAAGGAAGAAGGAAAAGAGATAAAGAAAAAAACAATACAAGAAAGGCACAGAAAGACTGTGAAAGAAACAGAGAAGTGTAAAAAAAAGTGTGTGTGTGTGCGTGTGTGTGTCTATTTTTAAGGTAAAGGAAAAATAAAAAAATCATAGAATGTCAGATCTAAAAGACCTTTGAAATCCATGTAGTAAACTAAAAAAATCCTGTTTCAGATTTGGGCAATGAGGACAAGAGAAGAGAAGAGAAGAGAAAAAAAGAAGAGAAGAGAAGAGAAGAGAAGAGAAGAGAAAGGAAGAGACAGCAAAAAAAAAAGGACAGATGACCTTGACTCCCGCCCTTAAGGAGGCTGCAGTGCAGAAAAAAAAAGCGAGCTCAGAAATAAGGCTCTCAGACTGTGCACCTTTTGTAGTCCCTAAAAAAATCACCTGTGTGAGAAGAGTCTCTGAGGCCTATGACCCAGCCTTCCAGGAAAAAAAGATGAAGGAGGCCACATTCTTTTCTGAAACTGCAGTGGTCTCAAATAGAAAAAAACATCCTATAGAGATTCTTACAGAAAAAGGCATGGCTGTTTCTGCCCCAAAAAAAAAAATGGGGAGCTACCTGCTTTGATTCTATCATTAAATGCTGGGTGACCAAAAAAAGAATACTCATCTTTTCTGGGGCCACTCTTTACTCTTAGGTGTAAAGCGAAAAAAAGACTAAATAATCTGCCAAGTCCTTTCCTGGTCTGACATTCAAAGGTTCAAAAAAACAGAGTGCATCTTACCACGCAGAGAAATTCATCATCTCCACTAATGTCAAAAAAAGAAGCAATGGGCAGGTGAGTTTTCAGCTCATCAACTTCAAAAATTGCTAAAAAAACTGTGGGCCTCTGCCCCTCTGGCCACATGGAAATAACAGGCCCCAGAGAAAAAAAATCAAAACAAAGGAAAATGTGCAAAAGCTCTCTCCCTACACCACATGCAAAAAAACTCCTTATCTTCTCTTCCTGCCCTTTTCCAATACTGCTTTTGCTATGAAAAAAAACCACCCCACAGTCTCTCTAGTCCTCAGCATGTGAGATGGGTAGTAACAAAAAAAATCTCTGCAGTTTGTTGAGGTCTTTACGGCCTGCAAAGAACTTTTATATAAAAAAATGCATCTGCCCTCCCAGGAAGCTATAATGCACGCAGGATAGAAATTATAAAAAAACAATTACCAAAAAAAATTGAGGCTGAGAAGGAGTCATGGAGAAAAGAAAAAAAAACATATAACCTGTTAGCAGATGTGTTGTGCTTATACAAAAGAACTGGGAAAAAAAAAAGCAGACCGTGGAGCAAGGTCTGGCATGTGGTAGGTGCTCAGTGAGTAAAAAAATCTTGTTAATGCTGGAGTCAACTCCATTAAACAAGGCCGGGAACAGTTAAAAAAACCTGTAATCCCAGCACTTTGGGAAGCTGAAGCAGGTGGATCACTTGAGCCCAGGAGTTTGAAACCAGCTTTGGCAACATAGTGAGACCCTGTCTCTACAAAATAAAAAAATACATTTTAAAAAATTAGCCAGTAGTGGCCAGGCACATGGCTCACGCCAAAAAAACCAGCAAACTGGGAGGCTGAGGTGGGCAGATCACCTGGGGTTGGGGGTAAAAAAACAGCCTGACCAACATGCAGAAACCCCGTCTCTACTAAAAATACAAACAAAAAAAAAGGTGTTGTGGTGCATGCCTGTAATCCTAGCTACTTGGGAGGCTGAGGAAAAAAAATCGCTTGAACCTGGGAGATGGAGGTTGCAGTGAGCCAAGATCATGCCAAAAAAATCCAGCCTGGGCAACCAGAGTGAAAGTCCATCTCAAAAAAAAAAAAAAAAAAAAACCAGTAGCCTCAACTACTCAGGAGGCTGAGGTGGGAGGATTACTTGATAAAAAAAGATAGAGGCTGCAGTGAGCCATGATCATAATACCGCACCCCCGCCTGGAAAAAAAAGCACGATCCTGTCTCAAAACAAAACAAAACAAAAACCCCAAAACAAAAAAAAAAGCCAGTTCATCAGCCAGCCAAAATGCTACCTTCTAAAAGAGTCTCTCTAAAAAAATGGTAATGAGCAGTTTGAGAACATGGGCACATCTTGTTTACCTCTATCAAAAAAACCCACACAAGACCTGGCACAGAGTTAGGTGTCCTGTGGAGCTTAAAGCAAAAAAAACTGAGTGAGAAGGAATACAGGGAGGCAGGGTGTGGGGGGCTGGGGCTAAAAAAAAGAGAACTCCTGGCTTACATAGGAGAAGTCCTCAGCATTCTGGCAGAGAAAAAAAGGAAAAATGGCCTGCCTCTGAAACCGTTCCTCATCCTCAAAGATGTTGAAAAAAATGAAGCCATTCATCATGGTGGAGTGGGCGTGGATGTCAATATAAAACTAAAAAAATGTTTTCTGTTGAGAGAAAGGATAACAAATGGGAAGTCTGGGCCATAGAAAAAAACTTTAAGGGACCAGACACTACACCACACACACACACGTACACACACACAAAAAAACACACACACACACATTGAGCTGACCCTATGTATCAGCAGATTTAGCAGAAAAAAACAATGTGAGGGGAGGGTTTAAGACAGGTGAGGATCAATTCCTCCTCACAAAAAAAATGGTTTTCCTTCAGGGTGTGAAAGCACTGCTGTTAGCATCCCTTTTAAAAAAAATTCAGAAAAAGTGACATTTAGGTTGGGTTAAGTCATGATGTTACTTACAAAAAAAAGCTAACACATTCATGACTAGACATTAGTGGAATTTATTTCTCTGATTAAAAAAAAATACCTCTGAGGTAACACAACTGTATTTACTTTGGGCCTGTTTGCAGAAAAAAACCAACTTGGCCGTTTCTAGCTGGGAAGCTTGGTGTAAATCATGTCCCCAAAAAAAGCCTCAGCTTCCTTATCTGAAAAATGGGTATTTTAATTCAAACCTCAGAAAAAAATAGTGGGAATCAAACACAGCAATAATAATTACTATATTGCTTGCTGATAAAAAAAGATATAAATAAAAAATAATAATTACTGTCTTTCACTGTATATGTAATAAAAAAAAGACACCATTCTTGGAACTTTACATATGAAGTCTTACTTAACTCTTTTAAAAAAAATTGTGTGATGATGCCACGTCTACTCCCCAATAGCATATAAATAAAGCAAAAAAAAAAATGCCTTTGTAGTCTGTAAAGACGGCATTGACTAGTCTACCTCTGCAAAAAAATTACACATATTTAAGGCACTTTCTTGGTTGATATGGTATTATTTGTTAAAAAAAACTGAAGTTAGGAGGATTGTCTATAAAGAGCTCAGTGCATGTAAGTAAAAAAAAAACAGTAACTACATGCCGAATGATTGAACAAACAATCCCAGAGAGATTGTAAAAAAAACTGTAATGGACTGGCTGAAAGAGGGGGTGTGGGGGATGGGGTAATTTAAAAAAAGTTAGATCTCCAATGGTCCTCAAATCCAACCTTCACTTCTTATATATCAAAAAAACTTATATCCATTAACCCTTTCTGAGAATAACGGAAGACCTGCATGGGGAAAAAAATTGCCCAAGCTCATAGAATAACCGGGCTGACATTCAGGCCTCCTGCCCAAAAAAACAATTAACTTATTGTCATCAATGGCCAACGCTAGAAATAGTCAAGGCAAAAAAAAGCCACCTCTCCATCCCCTTTCTAGTACATAGTCCTGGGAAAGAAGAAAAAAAAAAATTTAGAAGGATTCTCCCTCCTTGGGATGCTTTCAAATGAAGTTAAAAAAAAAAAAAAACTATGTTGCTTCTAGAATGTGGGCTCAATGACTGTCATTTCATTAAAAAAAGAGTTGGAGTGAAAAATTATGTCTTGCCAAGCTCCCAGTTCTCTGGGTAAAAAAAGCTGTCTTTTGGGAGATACAAGATGCACTGCTCTATGTGATATTAAACAAAAAAATTTCAGCTTTGGAGGTGGAATACACAATGATTCAACAGGAGCCCTATAAAAAAAATCTTCACAATTTTATTTTCTTCAATTGTCTGTCTTTTCCTCTGAGCTTAAAAAAAGCTGCACAGGAAAGGAGGAGGTAGAAAGATGATTTAAGAAATGTGGAAAAAAAAACTACAGTTTGTATCTCTCGATGTCAGAGCTAGGGAGGGCCTTGGAAACAAAAAAATCTGACCTTTCTCAGACCTGCTCTGAGTGCGGAGGTTGCTTGCTTAAGAAAAAAAAGCAAGTTAGTGAAAAAGCAAGAATTAGAACCTAGCTTTTCTTTTACTAAAAAAATTTTTTAAAAAAATTAAATTTAAAAAACTTATTTGCATAGATTTATGGAAAAAAAAGTGTAATTTTATCACATTTTTCTGATAACCATATAGGTGTGGCTTCCAAAAAAACATCCTGACAACTGGCAGCTGATGTGACTTCACATGAAAGAACCAGCAAAAAAAATATCTTGATTGATCATATAATCTGAAAGTCAAACATTATAAAATAATTAAAAAAAAAAAATCTCCCTTCTACCAGTCACCCAGTTTTGCTTCCCAGAGGCAGCAAAAAAAATCAGGCTTGCATATATCTTTCCAGAGATAGTTTGTGCATATACAAGTAAAAAAATCCTCCACACCCAAACCCCCTGCTCCAAACACACGAGTGATAGCACCAAAAAAAAATCATTCAGATCTGCTGTTCTTCTCTGAATATATCTCGGAGGCGATTCAAAAAAAATAAATAGGTACCTCATTCTTTGTAACAGCCATATATAAACTAACTAGAAAAAAATTGATAAATATTTACTGTATTTCCAATCTTTTCTTGTTACAAAGAATGAAAAAAAGATGAAATTTGTATATACATTATTTCACACATATACAATTGTATGTAAAAAAAAATCCTGGCCCCGGCGCCCGGTGGGCTCACTGCCTGTAATCCCAGCACTTCGGGAAGGCAAAGGCGGGAGGATCCACAAGTCAGGAAGTTCGAGACAAGCCGGCGCCAACATAGTGAAACCCCAATCTCTACTAAAAATACAAAAAAATTAGCCTGGCGTGGTGGGTACCTATAATCCAACGAGCTACCTCAGGAGGCTGAGGCGGGAGACTCACTTGAACCCGGGAGGTGGAGGGTGCAGTGAGCCAAGATCGTACCATTTGCACTCCAGCCCGGGCGACAGTGGTGAGACTCTCGATCTCAAAATAATAATAATAATAATATAAAAATAAGTAATAATAATAATAAATAATATAAATTCCTAGAAGTGAAATTCTGGATCCTATGTGCATTTGCAATTCTGATTAATACTGAACAGACTGACCTTAGAAGGGCCAGAACACTCCTAGCCTATTACCTTGACAATATAGGTGGAATCAAACTTTTGATTATTTGCCAATTTGATGGGTGAAAAGTAATATCTAAGATTAGTTTTATCTGAATTTCTCTTAGTACTGTATAATTATCTTTTACTGTATAGTTAAGCATATTTTCATATGTTTAAAAAATGATTGTGACCGGGCACAGTGGCCCCCCCTATAATCCCAGCCCTTTGGAGGCTGAGGTGGGTGATCACCTGAGGTCAGGAGTTCAAGACAGCCTGACCAACATGGTGAAAACCCCGTCTCTACTAAAAATCAAAAAAAAAAAAAATTAGCTGGCGTGGCTGGTGGGGCGCCTGTAATCCTAGCTACTCGGGAGGCTGAGGCGAGGAGAATTGCTTGAACCTGGGAGCAAGGTTGCAGTGAGCTGAGATTGCACCATTGCACTCCAGCCTGGCAACAAGAGTGAAACTCCCATCTCAAAATAAATAAATAAATAATAAAATAAATAAACAAAAGTGATTTGCATTCTCTTTTCTAAGAACTCTGTTCATTGCCTTTGACCATTTAAAAAATCGGATTGTTGGGCTTTATTTCTTGTTGACTTAGAGAAGCTATGTATTGTAGAAATTAACCTTTATGTGTAATATAAAGATACTTTTCTCATTTGTCTATTTTACTTCTGTTCATGTAGTTTTCATGTAATTTTTAAAATTACATGCACATTTTTGAATGCTGATTTTTGACACAGTTTATCAATCTTTTCTTTTGTGGTTTCCTAGCTGAATTATTTTACTGTTGCTTCCATTTTATTATTTTGTTGTTTAGTTTTCAATGTTTTGTTTCAGTTTCAATTTATATGGCCATGGAATGTGAGGTAAGGGTTAAATTTCACTGTTTCCACACCATTTATTGAATTGTGCGTCTCTTCCCCACTGATATTTCTATCCCCCTTGACATTCGGTTGGGATCAAATGGAATGTGGGCAATGATGATAACTTCCAGACCTGCCCATAAAACTCCTCATACAAATCACCCGCATTCTCTCTTGCCCTTCTGCATGGGGAGCTACATGTAAAAAATGATGATATCCTAAGAAGAAAGAAGCCTATATCCTCCATTCAACACTTAAGAGGACAATAGCAAGGAGAGTCATCTGATCTGCATCAGACTGATGTGAGAGAGAAGTGAATCTTCACTGTATTAAGCCACTTAAATTTGGGGATTGTTTATTATGGAAGCTAATATCATTCATCTTGACTAGTACAAAATCTCAATTCAAAAAGCCTTATTTTATCCCTCAGGCTGAGTTAACAGCCTCCTCTGCGCTCTCATAATTTAAGGTATATATCTCTCTCACGGCACTTACCACACGACATAATAACCCTTTATTTTCATCTCCCTCCAGAATATGAGCTCTTTGAGGGCAGGGCCCTTATATTGTTGATTTTTTTCAATCCACAGGGCCAGAATAAGGCCTTGTATATAGTAGGTCATCATTGAAGGTTTACAAAGGAATGAATAAGAGAATGAACTGATGGAAAGATAAGTGAATTAATGAATAAACAAATGCATCTTAAGTTTTTCCAACAGTAAAACCAGGTACTTTTCTGTGGCTGTGCCAGACCAAGGGGTATGTGTCACAAAAGTAGGGCCCTTAATTACAATTTGGGAATGAGAATAGAAGGTGGGGGATGGGGAGAGCATCTCCTTTCCTTCCAAACTTAAGAACCTTAATTAAAACAGAATGATGAAGGGCTGTCCCCTTGCCAGCAGCCAGCAGCTCATCTTGCAATCAGGGGCCTAAAGAGTAAATTAAAATCAGTGCCAATAAAATTAAAACTACTTTGGGGCATATTTGCAACATAATTTAGTGTGGAGTTTGCTTCCACCTAGACACCAGGGAGGAAATGGGTTTTCTTTCTCTATTCTGAGCTTCTACCCTGCTTCATCTCACTTGGCACAGGCCAAAACCTGAGCTTGGTGCTCTGATGTGGGGCTGGATCCTTCACATTTGGGCGGCACTTCAGAGTTTATCACCAATTCAGTTCAGTGAAGGAAGGATCATCCAGGGCAATCCAATGCAGGAAGGACAGAGGAATTTTATCTTA